AGTATTTGAAGACGTAATGGCTGAAATTTCTCAAATTCGATACAAACTATGAACTCACAATCCAAGAAGGTAGAAAAGCCCGGAGTAGGACACACACACACACACACACACACACACACCCCAAGCCTTATAATAAAATTGTGGAAAATCAGTGACAGGACAATCTTCCAAGCATCCAGGAGGAAAAGATGCCCTATGCTTCGAGGAACAAAGAATGACCGTGATGTTCTCACCAGAAACTGTGCAAGCCAGAGGACGACGGAATGATACAGGCCACCTCCTTAGAAAGACCTTGCCTGGTGTCCTACCTAGAGCACTAACCCTCCCCCGCTCCATCCACTGTGTCACTGTGCGTTCTTACCTGGCTCTAACTGTTAGTTGCCGGTGGACTCTCAACCCTCTAAAATATAAGCCCCAAGACGGCAGCAGCTTTATCTTGTACACGGCTTTAACCCAGTGCCTAGAACAGTGCCTGGTATCTAATGGGTGTTCAGTAAATACTTGATAGATAAAAACATAACCCCATCCAGGCAGAGGAGTGGAGAGGCAGAGAGTGGTAGGTAAAGCATCCTGGAACCACTAGCAGTCAGCACAGTCAGAGCCCAAGGTGTGCAGCAGCGAGGGGAGGAGATAAAGCTGGAGAGTGACAGATTCCAGGTCCTGGAGGACACTGTAGGACGTGCCGTGCAACTTGAGCTTCATTCTGTGGGCAGAGATTTTAGGCAGAGGATTATTAATATTCTATTTGGGTTCTAAAACAATTACTCTGGCATCGCCTTGTGCCAGGTGATTTCAAGTGGGGAGTCCGAGAGCAGGGAAAAGGTGAGAGGTGGCACAGACCCGACAGAGTCTGAGCAGTGGTGATGGCCACGTCTAGAAAGCTCTTAGGAGGCAGAGAGTACAGGAGATGGGGACCAGCTAGTTGTGAGGGATGAAGAGAGAAGTTTGGATTTGTTGGACTGAGATGTTTGAGATGTGGATAAGGAATGCAGGAAGCAAAGCTGCAAATTTGTTATACAGCAATAGGTGTATAACAAATTTGCAGCTTAAAACCGCAAACATCCACTATCGCACAGTTTCTGTGGATCAAGGATCTAGATATATATAGCTAATTGCCTCTGGCTCAAAGTCCCCCATGGGGCTGCAATCCACAAGGCTGGCCATAGCTGCCGCCATCCCAAAGTTGCTAGGGGATCCTCCTCCAAGCTCACTCACAAGGCAGTTAGCAGGCCTCAGGTCGGCCAGAGAAATCAGTTCCTTGTCGCCTGGGCCACTTCATAGGGCACGTTGTCGCACAGCAGGTGACTTTCCTCAGAGTGAAAGAAAGCATCCCAAGATGGAAGCCACAGTTCTTTTATAACCTAATGTTAGAAGCACCATCCCATCCTGCCTGCCCTGTTCTGTTTGTTAGAAGAGGTCACTAGATGCAGCCCACACTCAAGTGGGTGGAGGAATTGCACGAAGACACAAATACTAGGAGATGTGGGACTCATTGGGACCACGATAGAGACTGCTGACTGCAGGTAGTGAGTTTGGATATGTCGAATTTGAGGAGTCTGGGAACTTCCAGATGAGTGGATAGCTCTGGGCCTCAGGAGAGAATTCTTTCTTATTGGACTGTGGCTTGGAGCCTATGCATAAATTTACAATTAACTGCTCAGGGCCCTTTCCAACTTGATTTGAAGCTCCTAGAGGTCAGTCAAGAAGGACAGCTATTTTTAAATCCCCCAGGAAACCCCTCTGGTAAAAGGTGCTCAACACATAATTGCTGGAGGAATTTCTCAGCGCAGTAGAATTTCACATGGTTAAAAAGTTGTCTCTCAGGGTCCCAGTAATCCCAGTGACTTGGGAGGCTGAAACCAGAGGATCCCAATTTCTAGCCCAGCCTCAGCAATTTAGTGAGACCTTGTCTCAAACTAAAAACATAAAATAAAAAGGGCCGGGAATGTAGGTCAGTGGTAAAATACTTTTGGGTTCAATCCCCAATACCAAAAAAAAAAACCAAAAAACAAAAAACACCTCTCTATTTGATAATTCCTGCTCTGCCACCGTTAAAGAGACTTAGAGAGATGTCTTTCCCTTTCTAAACTGCAGGTGACTACATTAGTGGTTTCTCAAAAATAAAGTTTGAAAGTATCCCCCTGGGAATCCTCATATAGAAAAATAGGTAACCGTTGATCCTCCCTGCTTTCCCAGAAGAGAATTCCATTTTGAAAACAAAAACAAAAACAAAAACTGGACCCAGTGAATTCCCAATTTTTTTTTTGCCAGCAGAGACTTTCTGGGATTATATGACAAGATCAAATATAAGCCCAGTTCTGTGATTCAGCTTACTGTGATCCATACCTATCCATGCCTGAATATTTCGTTCATCTTTTGAAAGGAAAAGAATTCATATTTCCTTGAACTTGTGAAAAATATAATAAAGCTGTCCCTCATTAAACACATACGAGGTGTCAAGCACTGTGCAAAATGCTTTCCATTGCATGATCTTTATTTGATCCTGACTCCCCTACTAGAGTGTAAACTCTAAGAGGCCAGGCACTTCTCCTAGTTCACTGTGATATTTCCAGCAGCTAGGAACATAGGAAGCTTTCTTGCGACATAGAAAGCATTTGGTAAATACTTGTCAAATGAATTAATTAAGATTAGTGAGTGCTGTTCATATTCCTATTTTACAGATGAGGAAACGAGGACTTATAGCTACCAACTAACTTGCCTATAGTCACACAAGTTAAAGGTAGATCCAGAATATGATTCCAAAGGATAATAATCCCATTTCTTGGTGAAATTGGTAGGAAACTGGAAAGGGAGTTAGCATATATTGAGTACCTTCTGTATGATGAGCATAGGCCTAGATGTTATTTTCACTTCTGTTACCAATGACTCTGGGAGCCGTTTTTCAGATGAGATTGCTGAGGTTCAGAGAGACTAGCTATTAGTGTAAGAGACAGAGATGATGGGAGCCTGGGTCTTTCTAACTCCAAAGCATTCCTATACAAGACAAAACACATTAAAAATATACATCAAACTTCAGGTTCTGGAAAATATAATGTCAGTGTTTACAGGCTAATATGGTGGACAAGGTACCACCACATCCTTCTCCAGCTCCCAGCATTTTTATGATTTGCATTCATGGATCCATTGGGGGATGGAGCTGCAAAGAATCCTCCGGGCTGAGAAAGCTCAGGCCCAGACTTCTAAGATGTAGCACAAAGTAAGAGCTGATGACTGAAGATGATAAATGTTGGCACCACAGCCTGCTGCTCTCTGTAGCCTCATCACCGCCGCACGTCTCAGACCAGATCTGAAGTTGGACTGATGATGTCACCAGGGTCCCTTAAAGGCCTCATCACTCATACCCACTTGTCATATATTATTAAGCAGATCTATAATACATGGAACATTTTCTACTGAATTTCCATTCCTTCCTTTTCATGACCAGGGAAAGAAAAATAGAATGAGGATGACTTTTCCCAACTTCTCATCCTTACTGCCCTTCATTGTAACATAATTTCATCTTGAATCATTCCCCGAAATGGTCATCCAGGCTTGGATTTCATTAATATAGATGAAGCTGCAGTTTAATAATTATCATTTAACTAATGCATATTCTATATAGACAAGTAAATGGATTCCCCTCATCTTTTCTTCTGGAGTCTACAGAGGAGGGGAGTCTACAACCGTATCGTTTTCTTTTTCCTCTTTTATTCTCCACCTTATTTTTTAGGACTTTGGGGTTGTATAATCATGTTTAGAAACTTTCTACATTATCACTTCTCTAGAGATAATGAGAGTCCTTCTGAGAATCTGAAGTCCTCGTCGTTCGAGTCAGATTCTCATTAGGAGCAGCGATCTCAAAAATGAGGACTTATCCAGGTGAAGGGCTGTTTAAGGCAGAAAGATGAGGATGCACGTGGTGGCTGAGCCCCACCTACAGTAGGGCTCCTAAGGAATTAAAAGAAACCAGAGTGGCCAGTAGAAGATCTCTCCAAGGCAGGCAGGTGCTGAAGTCAAGGACAGGCGTGCAACAAATGAGCTGCAGGGAGTCTAGGGTGCAGGGGCCACTTCAAGGGCTGGTGGCCTGTGGAGCTCTACCACACAGTGCCCCTCATTCAGAAATGGCTTCAGTCCTGACTTTAGGCTGCTGTCATCATCATGAAATTGTTAAGACTTTTCCAGCAAGGGGTCCATGTTTTTATCCCATACTGGGTGGCAAATATTGTGTAATCAGTCTGCTTAGGCTGGAAAGCCAAGGCTATCCCTTACTAGGTAGGCAGGGTTGGGGGTACCCAGGGTCTTTCTGAGGTTCAGTTTCTGCTTCTGTAAGTTGGGGAGTACAGTCCCTCCTTCAAAGACGTCATCATGAAGATTCAATGAGATGACGGATGAGGCCTTGGTGCACTGCATAGTCACTGGTACCTAATCCACAGCCCCCTCCTTAACTATCAGGACACATCTGGATCACCTGAAGGGTTGATTGGACCCCCCCTGAGCGAGTCTGACTCAGCAGGTGGGGGTGGGGAGTGTGCTGGATTTGAAAGGGTTCCTTGCGTGACAGTGATGTGTACTCTAGGTTAAGAAAGGCAGCCTGAGGTTTTCGGAGATCTAGCTAAGAAGTGACTTAATCAAGGAGGGCAGAAGCAAAGGCAGAGGGAGAAATTGATGGACTACCACTAATCCTTAACATAATAAAAACCCTGTTAAAGAGGACAGAGGTCATCGCTTTACAGCACTCTGGACGACACAGATAGTGCTGAAATGCACGATGGGAACGCATCCCATTACCAAGGTTTCTATAAAATTTTCTGCTATCCATTTGGTCTGACAAGCACACCCAGAGGAGCAGGGACCGTGGACAAGAGCAGCCAGGGTCAAGGCCAAAGTTGGGGACCACGTTTGAATTTATTTTCCCCTCAATGACGCGAAGACCATACTCAGTTCCTGCAAAGAAACTGGGGCTGGAGGGAGTGATTCTGAATCATGTTTATTCTGCCCAGATCTTAGGCTTTGACATTCTCCTGATGAAAAATCTGAAGCCCATACTACTTGAAGTAAATGCAAATCCCAGCATGAGGATTGAACATGAGTGTGAAGTAAGTACTCTGAGCATCTCCTTGACTATATTGCGATAAAACCAAGGGTTCTAACTCTCAAGGTGTCCAATTGGCTACAGAAGACTCAGCTCTCTTGAATTTTCACAGCAAAGTTCTGCTCGAGTGAAATCATTTTCGTTCTGTTGAGCTCTGAACAGAGTCTATTAATATAAGACCTTTCCGACCTATGGTAATTTCCCAGCATGCCATTCTTCCCATTTTTAAGGTCTGGAAACTTAGAAGCAGCTGAGCCTTTCCATCAGTTTTGACATGAACTAATTAGTTAGCCTCAGGAGATGAACTAATTGAAATTCTATGAATATGATTTAGCCATGTCGACATGCTCAAATCACTAAGATAAATAGTACATTTAACAGTCGTTATATTTTCCTCCGCCCCCAAAAAATGCATTAAAAAAACCGGAAGGAAATACTCCCAGTATTAGTATTGGATCTTGGGGGAATTATCTGGATTCCTTTAATTTTCTTAACCCCTTTCTCTATTTCCAGCTTTTCCACAGTGAGTATGTATCATTTTGAACATCTAAAAAGCACAATGTTCTTTCTTCTCTTGGTGTGTTATGTTAATTTACAAAACGGCATTGACATTCCTAAGGTAGTATAAAGGGAGCACTTTAAAAATTCTCCTCTATAGATTAGCACAAGCAAAACAGTACAATCCCACGGGCTAGCTGGAGGATGGCATACTGATAGCCGCTTGGCATTGAATCACGGTCCCACTGTAATGCGGAATCCTTACCCATTCAAGCTTTCTCCAGGGGTGTTCGAAAATGTCCCCAGCCTTGTGGATGAGGAGGTGAAAGTGGCTGTGATCAGAGACACGCTGCGCCTCATGGACCCCCTTAAGAAGAAGAAAGAGAACCGGTAAGTATTTTCTGTCATTCGTTTCTGTCAACTCTGCTTCCTAACTGTTTTGTGTCCTAAGCAGGTGAGTTAAAGGAACCTGTTAATACATGAGATTTGCATAATAAACAATGGAATAAATCACCTTTTCATTTCAGAAACATAATCCTCCAAGTAACCAGTGACTCAAAGTCAGGACTAATCTGACAATTGGGGTTCAGAATGAATTTCTAACTGTTATCTAAATCCGTAAAACTCTCACTTTCCCTCCGTGATAGGGGCGTGCACACCACTGTTCCTGGGGTGCTTTTCTTTGAAATCCTCAAGCACAGAAAAGGTGGAATAAAAATGCAGAAGAGGCCACAAATAACTGGATGTAGTTAGTTACTTCCTTTTGACTTTCTTCACAGTATTGACGTTCTTGCCTGTAAGCTGCTTTAGTTTCAAAATTTGCCAAAAAATGATGTGATGAACTTCTGACGGTACTTACTGGTTACAAGCCTCCATCCTCATCCACCCAGTGGGACGTTATGTGGGGACACTGGATGGGTTATGTTCCATGTCTCCCCCACCCCCCACCCCAGTCGCCTTGGAAATGAATGACATTTCACTTGGGTATTTTGTTCATTCTGTTTTTGCCAAATTCCAGGTTGTCACAAGGTAGTTAAGTAAATATCATTATTTATGTTTTGGGCAGAAAGAACAAAGCCAGGCATTTCACAGAGCACATCCCATACCCCTGATATATCAGATCAACCCAAGTGCTCCCAGACACATAAGCCATTCTCAGCTGTGCTTCAAGACCTGGGGGGATCCCGGCTTCCCCAGGCAAGGGCTCTTTTGCAGGTTCCTGAGGAAACTCCAACTGGGCTCAAGCCCAAATATCGTCAGGGCCACCCTACAGCGGTGCTTCTCTCGGCTGCACATTGGAACCATCTGGGAAGCTTTCAAAATGCCAGTGTGGGGACGCCCCCCGCACTTACAGAAGCTGGCCTGGGCTGGGGGGCGGGTCACAGATATTTTTCGGTTCCCTAGATGATCCTGCTGCGCAGCCGCGGGTGAGCAGCACTGCGCCTACAGGACATGCGCTCTGCAGGGTTCAGCTTCATGGCCTGTTCAGCTAAGGTCTTCCCAAGTGAGTCCTTCACTGAGCGAAGCACGGGTGACCCTCCCTGAAAAGGTTCCACGTGTGGTTAGTGTGAACCAGTCCTGCCAGGTGTGGCTTCAAAGCAGTGGTGTGTCAGGGCTGCACAATCCTCTGAGCAACTCAGACCTGAGGGCAGTGGAACAATGTGCTACCTGTATGTAATGCCATCCCCTGGGGGAAGCCATGGTCGGTGGCAATTTGGTTAGATTGTTATAAAGCTCATCTCTCAAAAAAAGTATTGATCTCCGAGAGATCTGGGTGGCTTTCTATGCCAGTATAGCATGGTGGTGTGGTTTATTTTTAGGATGACCTTGACACATTCTCATTCTGATTCTTTGGGTGGGAATGAGAAGTTCAAAAACCAGATGTGGCCTGAGCCTTCTTAACCTCTGCCACCAAACATGAAGAGATGGGAGGTTTCCACTGTATTCCGCAATTAATGGTATTTAAACAAAATTAGCATTCTTTTTCTCTTTTTGGTTGTATTCCTTTACCTACACCTATATAATCTGTATGAGCAGCAGGTCTGCAGTGTAATAGCAGTGGGACACAGGACCATTTATTGGGAGGGATGAAAAAGGCATTTTACAATTTATCAAGTTATAAGTAGCAGCATCTCATTTTTAATTTAAAATGCATTGACCTTTTTATTGATAAGTAGGAACAGTTAGAACTTTAAGAACCTGACTTCAATTCTAATATAAAAAACCCTTTCATCTCACCCTTTTCTTACTTACAATGTAAGGGTACATTTTAATAGCTAAATGCCATTTACTGGTATTTTTCCTTAATTTCACTTTATTTTATTTTTTACCCAGCAATGTTTATCTATAAAAGCACTTTGTAATCTATAAAGTGCATTTGTGCATAAGGGATTATTATTATTCATTTGAACTTTACCATGCAGAGTAAAAGGCTGAAATTATTCTCAACTCCTTTGTCTAGAAATGTTTCAGGAATAAATTGAAAAAGCACCAGGTTTATGCCCACAGAAAATGCAGTGTTGTAATGCTGAATCCTAAGTCCTGTTCTGAGACCATGTCACTCCACCTGCATTAAATGATGTCACATAGACTTCCAGGATGAAAGTTACCTTTAGAAGCAGTTTCTAGTGTTTGCATGGGATCTGACCTAAACCTTAAAACAAATGCAATCCTAGGTTTGCCTCCAGCTCTGGAGCAAAAGGGATCAGAAATGTCCCTCATTAGTTCCTCCTTGGGGACTGTTTATCATCCAGACTGTCAACGTGGGTTTTCCCTTGCCCCATGCAAATTGAGAGAACATATAGATTCCCTGAACCCCCCCAGCTCCCAGCCCACTCTGGAAAGATTCAGAGACACATTCCAGGGGGCACCAGACATGTATCCATGTGTTACATCTCTGCACACCTCCAGGTCTTATAGCCTGGGTCCTTTTCTTGGTGGGAATAAAAGTAGTCCCCAGGCATTCTAAGGGGAGAGGAATTGACCCTGCAAATACCCACCGTGGCATGGTCAAAAGCACTTCCTCTTAAGCCAAATAGACTGAGATCTGAATCCTGACTCTGTCATCAACTGGTAGTGAGACCTTGGGGATATTGCATAGTTGTTTTGAGCCTCAGTTATGGGATAATGACATTAAACGAAACAATGAGGAAAAGTTTTAACATATAGTAAGCACTTTATAGTGTGCTCATTTTACTAATCAGTGTTACAATTATCTGCTAGACATGAAACAAACAGCAAAAATAATACTTATTCTCTTTCCTGATTTTCTTAATGTAGAATTTTAAATTTAGAACCACTGACATATCTTAAAACTGGAGCTGTAAGATCACTGGGGTCCAGAACTGACATTGGGTCTGGTTACCAATGGGAGGTTCTGTTCCCAGGGAACAAGACGTTGCTGGGCCATATTTATTTGGTGGGTTAGGAGAAATCAGTTTTGGTTACTGAAGGAAAAAGACAGCTGCCATGTGAAACTATTTTGACTATGGTAACATTTAGCAATTATCTAGTGACTCTCTTGATTTCCATACTAGGGTTCTGTGCAGGCACTGTAGGAACGTGGGAAGGGGGCTGATGGGGCAGGATTCTGGAAACATCATCTATATGGAGGCCAAATTCATCCATTGTAAAATTGACCATTTTAAAGTGTACAATTTGGGGGCTAAGAGTGTAGCTCAGTGACAGAGCACTTGGCTAGCATGTGTGAGGCCCTGGGTTCAATCCTCAGTGCCCTACACACAAAAAAAGTACAACCCAGTGACATTTAGTCCATTCATAATGTTCTGTAACCATCTCTCCACGTGGCTCCAAAATGTTTGACATTCTGAAAGAAAACCCATCCCATTAAGCACCCCATTCCCCCACCTCACCCTAGCTCCTGAGTCCTGGCAACTACCTATCTGCTATGGATTCCCTGTTCTGGATATTTCATGTAAATAGAATCGTGTACTGTGCAGCCGTTGCTGATTGGCTTCCGTGATTCAGCACAATGCTCTCAAGGGTCACCTGTGGTGCAGCGGGTGCCAGGACTTCAGTGCTCCTCATGGTAGACAGACCATATCTACTAGGCGACAGACCAAATCTCGGCATCCATTTGTCAGTGTTGGACATTTGGGTGGAATGTCCCTTTTCCACCAAAGGGTGCTGCAGTGATTATATTTTAGTTCTCTACTTAAGATTTCACTTAAGGGAAAGGGTCTTCCCTGCTATAAGAAGGTATTAGAGCCTCTGATTTATTCCTCCATTTTCCTGAAAGAAGTGCAGATCTTAGATATCATCATGCCAGTTAGCTCCCTGGTTTGAAAAATCTCTCGGAAGCGGTCCTAAGGGAGGGTCAGCCATGCTGGGGTGAAGGCTCTCATCTCTGACCACTGTGCTGTGGATGTGGCCAAGTTGCTTCATTCTCAGATCTTTTCTGTAAAATGGGAATCAAGGTACCTCCTTGGATGGATTGTCATGGCCGTGGCATAAATGATGCACATCAAGGACTCATGACATCTGAGAGCCTTAGACAAGTGCTGGCTCTTGGAGTTCCCAAGTGGTCTATCCAGCTTTTCTTTAAGATCATGCTGATGGAGACGGGTAACTCACAGCTCCCGGGACAGCCTATGTGAGATGTGAACACAGTGGCTCTGGCCCCCTGAACCACGTGTAAGGAAGATCACTAACTTGCCTCAAGTCACAAAGCGTCTCACTGGCAGAGTAGGAGCTGGATCTGGACTCCACGCTTCTCACCAGTGTTCACTCCGCCTGCCACAGGCTGCCCTGGCCTCAGTTCCTCCTGCACGTTCAAAGCTTTGCTTTGAGGATAAGGGGGAAAATATGGAAAATCAACAGATATTTGGATAGCCTGAGTGTGACTTTTCTTTAAAACCCAGCAGAAGCAGAGGGAATAAATTGCATTCCCCAACTGTTTTTTTAAGACAAGGTAATTATTCCATCAATTGTTTAAATTTTGGAAGGTCAATTTACCCCTGGGGAGTCATTTTTCTGGTACTGTGCTCCTTTCTCTGAACACAGGTATCTCTGGTAACTGGAGCCCCTTCTTAGGATCATAAAGCCCCAAAGTAACATAAATGAAGGCAGAGACAGGGTTGGAGAAATCCGAGGGGGTTTGTAGGCATCATGCTGCTTCGCGGTGCCTGGGAGCTGGGTTGTCGACCGCTGGCCTCTTATTCAAAGGTATCTATTTAGAAAATGACTTATATAAGGCCCAGAAGCCCCCTTTCCTATGGTTACATTTCACAATCCCCTTCCTGTTTTACGTACCTCCTGTCACCATAACAACCAGGTTTGTTGTAGAGGAAGAAGTCAGGCTGCCTGCGCGCCATTGGTCCCAGTCAGAGATGTTTGTCTGCTGAAGGTTTTCCTGGGAGCCCTGGCTTCCC